CTCATGCTGCAAGACCCACGTTGTTCACTAGTTACCGTGGCTAGTGACCACGGGCAGAGGAAGCTGGCGAACACCCATACTCTTGACGTGCTGCTTTGCAAGCAGAAAAGTCCTGAGTCAGGAAAGCAATGATGCCAAAGAGCTGGCAGAGCAGGATTAGTAACACGCAGAGAAATTCAGTTCATTCCTATGGGGAGACATGACTTAATGGGCATTGCTTACCTAATTACTTAATACTTCTTCATTCACTTGCAAATTGGATATTATTCTGTTTAGTTTGACTCATGGCTGAGGCAGACTTTGTCACCACAAAGTCAATCCAGCCTCTTATAATGCTTTATTAGCTAGTTTTTTCACCCAAAAACTGTTCTTCAATGTTGCTGTTTTCTTGCAGTTTTGTAAAAAGATAGGGTAAAATGTAGGTACGTTACTACTTTTATGCCTCCTGCTCTATTGTTTCTAGTATATAGTTGATATGCTCAAATGTAAACTTGCCAATTTAAGATACCACTTTATAATTCTAATTACAAGGGCTGAGAGGAAAATTTAAGGTGCCACTATTTGGATCACATGTACTAACTGGAGATTTATTACTGTTTCCAGAGGTACGTTTCTTAGGCTTAGAACACAGAACATAGAATACTAAGATTGGAAGGGACCTTGGAGGTCTTCCAGTCCAACCCCCTGCTCAGGCAGGAGACCCTATATCATTATGGACAAATGGCTGTCCAATCTCTTCTTGAAAACCTCCAGTGATGGAGCACCCACAATTTCTGGAGGCAAGCTGTTCTACTGATTAATTTCCATCCACTGTTTCTTGTCTTGCCTTCTGGTGCTTTGGAAAATAGGTTGACCCCCTCTTCTTTTTGGCAGCCCCTTAGATATTGGAACAGTGCTATCCTGACACCCCTGGTCCTTCTTTGCACTAGACTAGACATATCTAATTCCTGCAGCCGTTCTTCATATGTTTTAGCCTCCAGTCCCTAATCATCTTTGTTGCTCTTCTTTGCACTTTTTTTTTCAGAGTCTCAATATCTCTTTTGTATTGTGGTGACCAAAAATGGACGCAGTATTCCAAATGTGATTTAATTCTTTTTAGTTCTGTTGGGTAAATAATGGGCAATGTACTTACTGAGTCTCCCTTCCGGTGCCCAAAAAGAATGTTGGTTTTAAGTAATTTCCGATATCTGCGGCAAAATTATGCTGAGTCTGTAGCTTCAGGGACTTTTGAAAAAAAAGAGAAGAGAGATATTGCACGGCTAAAACTGTGAAGCAACTTATTTTGTGTAATAGTTAAGGCAAACTGTGTCTGCTCTTACTTCTGAGATTTTAAGCCCCAATGTACAGACCCTATCTTCATCTAGCAATGCCATGCTAAGGAAAACCTGCAGATTTCTGTCTATAAATTATTTGCTAAAAGCAAACACCCTTTTTCCAAGCCTTCAGGCCACCAGAGAAATGTATACAACAAAGAGTGGGGAACAAGATTAAATGGGTATTATTCTCATAATATCAAATGGTCTTATAAGAAGAAATGGGAATAAAGACTGACTCCATCTCCAGGAATTATTTGTGTGAGTCAGTACATTTCAGGTCCTTGAGATGTGGTGTACATCTGGGGGAGACCAGCTTAGGGAAAGCATGCGCTGCTCAAAACTATTGACCTTTTGCTTTCCACCAAAGCAGACTTTTCAAGTAATAATTACAGGGAGTCCTCAAATTACCACCACTTATTTAGTAACTATTCAAAGTTACAACAGCACTGAAAAAAGAAACCAGTCCTCACAACGATGTCTGTTGCAGCATTCCCACGGTCATGTGATCAAAATTCAGGCCCCTGGGCGACGGGCATATATTTATGACGGTTGCAGCATCTTGGGGTCATGTGACCACCATTTTCAACCTTCCCAAATAGCCTCTGACAAGCAAAGTCAACGGGGGAAGCCAGAGTCACTTAATGACTGCATGATTCACTTAACAAGCATGGCAAAATAGGTTGTAAAATCTGGCATGACTCCCTTAATAACTGCCTTGCTTAGCAATAGAAATTCTGGTCTCCATTGTGGTGGTAAATCGAGGACTAGTAGCACTGGTCCTTCCAATAACTGCAAATATGTAGACTTTCTCCTGGCTAGCTTTGGACTGAACTGTAAGGATATTAATATCTTGGATACGACAAATGTTTAATCCTTACACAAAAAAAGTACCCACAAACTGCCTTTGAATTCTTCCATCATAATAGGAGGGTAGCTTGGTTACTGAATGGATAGATTATAGTCCATTTTGCCTTAGTATTAAGTATTGTTTTGAGCTGAAAATTAAGGAATGAGGACCCCCCCCCCAATTCCTTGAAGAAAAGAGCCAGCTCTTGCTTTAAAATAAAGATTTATTTATTTCAGTTTGGATGCCGGCCAACTCCAATCAGCTCTTTTTACGGAGACCTATTTTCTCACTTCTTGAACCCTTTGAACATTGGGGGGGGGGAAGCTTCCTGAAAAGACCCAGGTGCTGCCCTAATGAATGCTACCTTGTGAGCGCAATGAGATCATGGGAAACCGTAGCAGAAGAAAGGGATTGTCAAGAAGTGAATCACCCCTTTTGCCCAATGATGCCTGGCTGAGTTTGGAGGTGAGAACTAAGTGGGTGAAGCCACAGGCCCTTTGTCTCCTACTTCCTCACTGAATGAACTATGCAAGGAGCTGCATGATGCTCTGGAACTTTTCTTACTCACTGCAAATTAGAAAGGTCAAAACTCCATTGACCAGACATATCACATGAGATTTGGCTCTGCAGAGCAGGGAATTTTGGCATAGTAAAACTGTTTTCTGCTTAGTACAGTCCCACTTTGCCCTGTAATGAAAAGAAAAGCAGTAACTGTAATCCTGGACTTATCTCCACTGAGGAGTAATAGTCCTCGACTTATGTACTGGAATTTCTACTGAAACTCATTGGGACTATAAATTAAGTCAGATCAAATGTTATAACAGTTTGATAATTGAATCACTGTGGTTATTTAGCGCTTATGCAGTCATTAAGTGAATCCAGCACCCCCAATGGGCATTTTTGTTGCTGGAAATTGGCAAAAAAAAATATGTTAAATTGCGATCACATGACCGCAGGACACTATAGCCGGTTGTAAGTGTGAGTCAGTTGCCAAGCATCCCAATTGCAATTACAAAACTGCGAGAGTGGTATGATGGAGGTAAGTATAGGTCGTAAGTCACTTTTTCTGAGGCCATTGTAATTTCGAATCTTTGTTAGATAAATAACCTATAGTTGCCACGTCCTTTCTAAACCAGGTGAGTAGGCCATTTCACCTCAAAGGAAAAGACTAAAGCAAGTGAGGAAAGTGAAATCATTACTATAGACCCAGAACCACATCACACAGTCACGGCTGCCTACACACAATTTGCCCAGTAGCTCTGTTATGAAAACTGGAGATCAGGTTGAACCATAAGGAAGTGGCTTGCGTTGGGTGTCTTTTCCGGAAGAGCAGTGTGGCTTTAGCTCAAGAAGTGATTCCTGGCTGGTGAGGTGAGTAAGAGACCTCGGTGAAGGCAGGTGTATTCCATGTCTGTAAGGCATACCGGAAAGGCAGGGTTCATGTGAGAATTCCCCTCACTTAGCAGTTTCTTGAAATAAGGTACAGGAGGCGACGACTGGCCTCACTCAAAAAACTCTGCATTGCCTCTGTTAAGGTGGCAAGTTGGTCAAGAGCTGGAATGGAAAATATTTCAATTCTGGGTTACAGCTCACAGTTTTCCCTGCTGCTTTTCTCACTTACCCAGAACATAAGCAACAAGACAAGAAGTAATGGATGGAAGATCATCAACGGGAGATCCAACTTAGAATTAAGGAGCAATTGCTTGACAGTGAGAATGATTGATCGATGGAGTAGCTTGTCTACCAGAGTTATGGGTGCTCCATCCTTGGAGGTTTTCAAGAATAAGCTACATAACCATTTGTCTGGAATGGTATAGGGCAGGGGTAGGCAACCTTGGCTGTTTTATGACTCGTGGACTTCAACTCCCAGAATTCCTGAGCCAGCATGGCTCAGCTTGGAAACCTCTCCCTTTCCCCTCAGCATGGCTGGCTCAGGAATTCTGGGAGTTGAAGTCCACGAGTCATAAAAGAGCCAAGGTTGCCTACCCCTGGTATAGGGTCTCCTGCTTGAGCAGGGGGTTGGACTAGAAACCTCCAAGCTCCCTTCTAAGTCTCTTATTCTGTGTTCTAAGACAGCACTTACCTTTAATGGGTCTGTTATACCCGGGTTGCAGAATTCCAGGGAACCACAAAATGGTTTCTATTTCTCACTGCTGCCCTCCAGGGAAATCTGGATTATTGCAGCCCTGTACTGTAGGATACAATCACACGTAACTCAGTCCTTTTTATTCTTTGCAACCCAGCTGAATGTTTGGAAAGGAATTACCTAAAGGGTCTTGGGACTGTGTTTGCCCATCAGCAGGATAACTCTCCAAAACCTGAATAGAACAGAGCCAAACTTGCTACAGAGCCCTCATGGTGCAGTGGTTAGAATGCAGCACTGCAGGCTAATTCTGCCCACTGCCAGCAGTTTGATTCTGACCGGCTCAAGGTTGACTCAGCCTTCCATCCTTCCGAGGTCGGTAAAATGAGGATCCAGATAGTTGGGAGAAATATGCTGACTCTGTAAACCACTCGCCCTGTCAATGTATTTTTTTTAAAAAAAGTATTTTAATGCTAAAATCTGAGAGATGGGAGGCAATATTTATATCTATCAGGGAAGGAAGGAAAGAATTTCTCTAAATATTAGAGAAATTAGAAAAAATGTATTTTGATTTGCAGATAAAGATGAGATGCCCTCAGCAAGTCCAACGATAGGGAATGAGAGATGAAGCTGCTATTATGATGGTAGTAGACTTAAAGCCATATGTGCCACAGCAATTTTTATGGCATCTTAATAGAAGATTCTCTATTTCCAAAGCTGCATTTGCTAAAACAAAACACAGAATATGAGAGAATTTGTTTATATTCACTTTACTTTGCAAAATGGGTATCCAGTAGTATGAGAGAAATCCCAATATCCCTCTTTACAAGATGCAAGAAGAAACCATAGGCACTTTAGGCATGGCCTGCGTTAGGATACAGAGTTGATATCAATATAATAAACAAAACAGCCATCAATCACATAAATAAGTGCTGCTAGATACAATCAATCCATTTACATCTGTTTTTAGTGAATAACTTAAAGCTATCATTTAAAGCTATCACCATTTTTTAACCAGAACTGACAAACATTTCCTGCTAGATTTTATCTCTCACACTAGAAGATCAGTTCCATCATTTACAAATAGGAAGGGAAAAATCACAAAGTTTTGCACCAAAAGTCTCTGGACATTTTGCAACAATATCGTGTGCTTGGCCCTATGGAGCAGTATGCATTACAAATATACTGAAAGTACATGAAAGAGAAACTCCCCCTCCCCAACAAAAAAAGGTGAAAAGAAGCAAGAGTACCTAGAAATAAAAAAAACACCATTACAGGGAAATGAAATGTTTTCTAGAAATGACTAAGATGAGATTCAAGATAAGTCTAGCCATGCAAAATGAGGAAATGACTTTTTTTTCTGGGTTCTTGCTTAGCTTAATCAAATTAGAAGTACTGATAGCTATTTAAATTAGCACTGATATTTTTGATAGCTGATGGCTCCATGTACCCTACTGGGTAACACCACCAAGAAATGCAATTATTAATGAAACCCATTCTGCAGTTAAAAATGAGAGCTATACATATGGTTCTTTTGCATTTATTTGAAAATAAAGAGAAAACTGGGGGAACACACAGAACACATAGGCATCTCCAATGCATTCTCCTCCATGTAAAATAATCCACAACAATCATCTCTGAAATTTTGTTTTCCAGGGAAGCACAATGACACAAAGGCGCCGTATTACAGTTTAGCTGTACTTCTAAACTTCTAAAGTGTTAACCAACAGGTTGATATATTCTTGTTACACTGACAGAAATTTTATCAAAGACAAGGATGGGAAATACTTTTGTAAATAGCAGAATCAGTTTGCTTATATATCTTCAAGGCAGCTGGGCTAATAGCAGTCCCTTTTTCCCTATTCCAACTGGGCTCAAAATTGTCCTAAATATAGAAATTTACCCAAAATAGGTAAGAAATCAGAAACTACTGTCCAGGTGCATTATAGCCACAGCTACGGCTTCCGAAATTGTCATAATTTTTGAGGGGCAAGAATCAAATCAAGTGTTGTGCTGACTTTCTTTTTCTTCTTCTTTGGCGTGCCCGTGTTTTCTTGGCTGGAAGCAAAGTCCATTTGCCATGCCTGCAAGAACCACCAAAGAAAACATTTAATACAAGAATTCATATTAATATTTACTCATTCTGTTTTATTTTGAAATTTTCAATACTGCCCTTCATTCACAAAAGTGGATTGCTGGACTCGGTACAAGGATAAGGGAATAATGCTAATGCAGTTTACGTTTATCGTATACAAATAAAAGAAAGAAGTATGAAAGAGATAGCAAACAACATTCTTAGAATAAAAATAAAATTAATAGTGGCCTTGCCCGTGATGTGCCGTCACCAATTAACTGATCTTCTAGATCTACCCTTATCATGATAGACTAGATATATCAAGGACAGGGGAATAGAACTTTATGTGGAAAACTTAAATGTGTTAAAAGGCTCACATTTTTTTTTTTTACCAAATACAGTAAGGCAAAACACAAAAGGGAAATGAAAAAATTCAGCGGAATTCTTTCCATATAAGCATGTCCATTGAAAAGTGACATGGCAAGAAAGGCATTTCCATCTTCTGGAGATCTGCTATCTGCCTTCTCACAGACAGATGTTCCTTGTGCACTTCCCTTGAATGGAGACAAGAGAGGAGATCACAACCCACCCTCTGGCCTTTGGGAACTGCCAAGACCAATATTAGGGATGAGGAGATGGTAGAGTTTCCTAACGGAGGATGGAAAAGACTCCCCACCCAGTCTGGTACTATATATTTTCCCTGTCATACTTCTACCATGCTGAAGGGTGGACGGGCAAGAGCTGGAAAACTAACGTTGAGGGGAGGCTCAACATTTCCCAACAATAGCAAATTATACTTTGTTTGGGATCCTAGACAATTCAGTTTCTTTTAATGGGTGGGGCATCTCTAAAATAAAAGCCAGGGAAATGTAATGATCGTTGTTTTAAAAATAAAAAGACATTTGGACAGTTACTAAATTTAAGAGGCCGGGCATATGTTCTATGCGTAGGCAAATGACAATTTGTAAAAGCTGTTAAGGTACATATAAAGACTTGCAATCTTGTCTCCTCTAATTTCTTCATTATCCTCCTATTTAACGTCACACTGTTCTCATCTCAAAGCTCAAATCTAATCTCTTCTCAATTTTTATGCTGACCAGAGTCACTTTGTAGGGGAGATGGGTGGCACATAAATTAAACAAACAAACAAACAAACAAACGAATACAGGCTTCTTTTTTTCAAGAATTGCAAGCTTGCAGTTAAAAACCTCACAAATGGTGTTAACATATTAAAGCTTATACTGTAATCAATTTCAAATTAATCAAAGGATAGCAGAAATGGATTGAGGAGAGCCATTAAGCTGCAGACAAAATTAAATTTGCAGGGTCAACCAGAGTTTATGTGCAACTTGCTGTCAAAACTAGAAATCATGTCTTAATTTTGTATTTCATAATACCTAGTCAAATGAACTGGCATCCTGATATATCAATAGATCATATCCTGATGGCATCATTTCCTGTCTTTGCTCCATATTTCTAGGTACTTATCAACGACAATGTCTAATATGTTAATGATTTCAGAACTGGGCAAATTTAACAAAATAGAAGAAGAGAAGTAGGAACAAAGGATGTGGTTACCATTCTGGTTTTCACTGAGTCTTTAGAAGAACGTTTTTCTTGGACCTGGGAGAAAAGGAAATTAAACAAAAACTAATATGGTAAATTCTGCAACAGTGATTACTCAGGATGCTTGCAGTCTGTGGCTATATTACTGAGTTAATCCCACATAATGGCAAGCTAATGTATCCAAAATACAAGTACAAGTTGAAGCTTTAAGATGCTCTTTGATAAAACAATATTAAACTAATAATACAGAATTATTTAAAGAATAGTAGGTTGAAAAATAAACTGATTTAAGTCACAGTTCCTTCGTGATAGGAACAATCAACATAACACATAATAATGAGCGCAATTGCATTCCAGCATTTAATGTTTTCTTTGCCCAATGTTTCTCCACTCCATTATCCCTCCTCCATCACCTACAATTACATTTCATCTTATAAGTTTCCAAGCATAAGCTAACTGGGATGTTTCAAGCAGAAATGCCCCTTCCTCTAAAGCAGAAAAATGGTGGGACAGAGTAAAGATTATCCAAGCACAAGTACTGATTGTCACACTCTGCTTTGAGTATTCAAGTCTGAGTACTGCAGTTCAAAAAGGTGAGTTAGAAAATGGAATGAATTCTGGAAGTTCTATTAAATTTGTGAAGGGACTGGAAATCATGATGCATGAAAAACAGACTGAGATAACTGAGGGGAGATACAAGAATAGTCTTCAGATATCTAAAGGGTTGTCATATCAGGAACATATTTGTTCTCTATCGTCGTTGAAGGCAGATCAGAACCAATAGGCTAAAAACACAAGGCTCGGCTAGATATCTGAAACAGCAAGTGAAATAAGCTGTCACATAAAATGGTGGGTTTTCCTATTCTGGAGGTTTCTCAGAGATGCTATAGTGGGCCCTGTGCTGAGCAGGGAACTTGGAAACCCCTAAGGTTCTTACAGCTCTGTGATTTCTTGATGATGTATTCTTTCTCTTTTACTGTTTTGAAATTGCATGCTCTTAAAGTAAAATCTTGGAATACTAAACTGGACTCACATCACATACTTAACTAGCTCAGTTACAGATTTAGTTCTGCGTGTGCACAAGCTGCTAATTTTACTGCCAATTTTGTACACATGTGATTTTTATGGCAAAGCATGATGTGGAAAAACAGACCTTTAGGAGAGAATAACTGAATAACAGGTCTTCTAGTCCAACCCCCTCTTAAGCAGGAAATCCTATATCATTTCACACAAATGCTTGTCCAAGCTCTTCTTAAAAACCTCCAGTGTTGGAACACCCACAACTTCTGGAGGCAAGTCGTTCCACAGGGTAATTGTCCTCACTCTCAGGAAATTTCTCCTTAGTTCTAGGTTGCTTCTCTCCTTGATTAGTTTCCATCTATTGTTTCTTGTTCTGCCTTCAAGTGCTTTTGCAAATAGCTTGACTCCCTCTTCTTTGTAATACCCCCTTAGATACTGGAATATTGCTATCATATCACCTCTAGCCCTTCTTTTAATTAAATTAGACATATCCAATAGTTTGTGGTTTAGTGCATTGTGCAAATTCAGAAAGGGGGTTAGTTCAGGAAGCCAAGTCATCTTAATTTAGTTGTACAGTAAACTGCAAAGAAAGAGACCGAATCACACCCCCATACATTCTTTAGCTTCCTTTGCCTATATTTAGCGGTATTTGGCACAATCTAAATCCAAATATCTCACCCACGATGTGTCAAATTGTGGTTTTTTTTGAATTGCCATCGCATGGATTCCAATGAGCGACGTGCTGCTCAATAATTGCGCTTACCTATTTCTTAGTGAGACAATGGGTAGGGAAAGTCCCTCTGCTAAGTAGCAGAATTAATGAATCATTCATAAAGCAATAGCCTTTCCAGACAAAAAAAACCCTGCTTTTTGTCTAGTGGCCTGATTTCCTTTTTTCCATGAAATCAGTCACATGATCATTTAAGCCTACCAATCCAATATCTCTGCAAAACAGGGAACAACAGTTTCCCCATGAAAAAAAAAAATCTAACAGCAAACTGAAAAATTGTTGTTGCTATAAAGGTACAGCTTGGGCACCAAGAGGTAGAAAAGACAATGGGCTGACATCCATTCTTTGCTGATGGAATGTTCTCTTGCAAATGTACACGAAACTGGGATATAAGTCATTAATTGGCATTTTTGGAGAAGGCACGGTGTCATGGTATTTTAATGAGGACTGTTGTACAATGAATGACTCAGCAAATCTGGATTGATGACTCAAGAAAAATGCCTATTTTTAAGCAAGAAATGGGGCTTAAGGGAACAAACAGCCCAGAAACCTAACTCAGCCACTACTTCAAACAAAATACCAGATCATCATTTCTGCTCTACCAGGCAAACCGAGGCCATGATTTCAGAAGTCAGAAATGGACAAAAGGCTCAGATTATGTCCGACTTTTAAATGTTTAGCTTAGATTTAGCTTAGACTTAGATTCTTGTCCAACACAAAGCTCTGGGATGCTCACTTTGTGAGACGTCTTAGTGACGCGTTCTCTCTCTGCCTCTTCAGCTCCATCCTTTCTGATTGTTTCTGAAATAAATAAATGATCAAAACTCAGATGCTTGGCAACTGACTCACATTTATGATGGTTGCAGTATCCCGGGGAGGGGGGGGGTCATGTGATCACCTTTTGCAACATTCTGACAAGCAAAGTCAAAGGGGAAGCCAGATTCACTTAACAACCATTTTAACAGCTGCAGTGATTCACTTAACAACTGTGGTTAAAAAAAGGTTGGAAAAACTCACTGTCTTGCTTAGGAATGGAAATTTTGGGCTCAATTGTGGTCATAGGTTGAGGGTGATCAATAGCTCAAAAGCAAACTACGTCATATAAATCCAACGTCCAATTAATGTCCAATTAATGACAGACAATGCCTCTGGGATGTACACATAATGTAAGTTTTAGATGGATATACCTGTTACATCTGCATTCAAAGGGGGCATGTGCTGGGACGCTGCATTTTCTTCAAACATCCTGTTTTTATCCATGTAAGCAGCCATAAACTTCCTCTGCAAAACAATTCACAATGTAATGTTCTATTTCTTTCATTTCGGTTGAAGGAAGATGCAACGGTCTTATTTGCCTAACTGACAATAAAAGGCATTGCTCAATTAACTACCTGATACATTATGATGTATGAACTTGGTTAACCCACCGATTGAATGTACCACAATTGAAAGTCTTGCTATAAAAGTGAAAGTAACGAGGGAAATTAAAAGCTGTTAGAATAACCACAGGGGAGAAAATAGGTAGATTTTACTATCAGTTTTCTAATGGTTTAACCATCATCACTTTCTCCAGATCAGCTTGGCCACTGAGTGAGAAATGAGAATGATACGTATTTTCCATTAGAAACTTAAAATGTACTTTCACTAACAGTTCCCTGCAGGAGAAGTTTCCCTTTCAGAGAGGATTCCACCTTTATTCATTTACAGAAAATCATAGACAAAAAAAAACCCCTTCCTTGCTCATTGGCAATGTCGCACAAATGAGATTCAGTCAATGTTATTGATATGTGTCAGCATTTGTTATCTGGGGGAAATTTTTGTGCATGTGCAGATATGTGACTGGAATAACTACTGCAAGGACAACTCCAGAGGGACTTTTTTTCTGGGTAAAAATAACTAAAGTGGGACACATTTTTTTTTTCCCTGCACAAAAACAGGTATTTTCACCTATGCCTTCTAATCAAATTGGAGGATGTGCTTTCTTCATTTTGCTGTTATGGCCCAGAGGCAGAACATGAAAATAAGAGTCATATCCTGCTCTAAGTGAGGAGGAATAATAATGGACAAATTTCTTCCTTTTCTTAGGGGACAATATGCTTTTTACAAAAGTTACCAGAAGCTCTTTTCCACTTCACCAAAAGTCAAATATTAACTTTTTTTTCATAGCTAACTAATTATTTATTTACTAGATTGATGAGCCACCTTATTTCCCCGGAGCTCAAAAAGATGTAAACAGCATCACCTCTTCCAATTTTTTCTCACTAAGAAAACCCCCTGAAATAACAATTGGAGAGAATAGCTGTAGCTCAGGACTGAAGTATGGAATTCTTGATGCTCTCTGAACTACGTTCTTTGCTTGCAGGTGTTTTATTATCCAACTTTTGTGAAAAAGACAATGTAACCTGTTCTGGTACTTTAGTGCTGTCCTCTTCTTCTTCATCATCATCACAATCTAAACCTTGGTGGGATATTTCAGTGGGACCATTCTCTTCCACCAGATTGTTCTCCAGCATCCCCATCCTTTTGCTGTCTGTTGTCACCCTTACTTTCAACATGTGGAATCCAGTGGAAACAGATCCTACTTTGAGGTTCACGGGATCACCATCAAAAAGCAGACCATCTGAGCTGTCGCCTTCCTTGAAGCCATGAGGCTGGTAATCAATGGGCGTGACTGCAAAGGAAGCGGGTGTGAAATCTGGAGCAACAGGTATTGCCCCTAGAACAAGAAACTAGGCTGAGTGGTTAAATATCTATCATTCCCATAATGATTTTTTAGATTAATAAAAATAACAAAGTTATGGGCAGAGATTATCTTGTCTAGAAAATACAACAGAGAAGGAAAAGAAGAAGAAGGGGAAGGAGAAAAATGTAAATTCTTGTTCCTCGAGAGAGCAACTTGAATGCAAGCAACAGGGAGAGGAAATGATAGAGCTATTTTTTAGCAGAACCAGTGGTGAGGGCACTATTTCCCATTTCAAGGTTCAGAAGTCCTGAGCTAGGATTTTCAATATCACCTCCACGCAATCACGAGCGCACACACATACAAAGAGCAAGGATCTGGTCTCTGCTTTATTACTGATTACCACCTTTAGTTCTAGTTGGGTTGCCAGCTCCTAGTCTTGAGATTCATTTCAAGGCAATTTCTAACATCTCTGGGTTGGGTTTTGTCCTAAGTGGAAGCCAGAACGGAAATCTTGCCACCTACCATCTTTGTAATAGAACAATTTCATGGTCAAAGTAATATCATTAGGGAGTGGTCCAAGATGCTGCATCAATATATATAATTTGCGGATCAATAGGATGCTGGCTTTTTTAATTTCATCGCTAGTTGTTCCATTGTGAAAGCTGACTTGAGAACTACCAGGAAAACAACACAAATGTTAAAAAAGCTTAAACTAAGAATATACATGCAGCCTGCCAGCATAGATTTTATAAATCCCAAAGGCTTCCTTGAATGGATGAGGCTAAGAATTTGGGCTCTTTTTGCATATTGGGATAAATAAGAAATGTTAAGAGCTAAATGACTGCCTTAAACTTTAATTGCTTAAGATAGCAATTTCATTCCTAATATATTAAACAAACTATTGCAAGCTGAGGACTCTACCTGTATTCAAATACAGATTTACATTTGATCAGTTATTTATAGGCTGGCCCACTTCCACAAAAGCTATTTGCAAGTAGGGTAATATAATAGCAACCATTAAAAACAATATTCAATCCCTTTAGCCTAACTGAGGCAGCTCTAGTAGCAGCAGCAGCAGCAGCAGCAGCAACCATATGCTCTGCAGAATAAAAATAAATAAATAAATTCAAGGTCTTCTTTTGCAAGCCTCCCACATCTCACATGGCAATGTGTTTCACAGAATGGGGGAAATAATTTGAAAGATGTATGATTGGGTTCCCGTCCCCCTCATTTCCTTATGAGTGCAATTAAAGAATGGTGATCGTAATTAATGGTGAAATTAAATAGAATCGTACTGTGATGCTGCCTGAGTGCCAACTTTACAGTATTCCCCAGAATAAGCTGCTCACAATAACTTAGAGGCATTAATAGAACAAAACAAATGACTTCACTGGACACTAAATGATTAACCATTCTAAAAATGGGACAAGAAGGCACATATTCAAACAAAATGTGCCATCCAAAAGTATTCTGGTCGCTAAGTAAAGTCGCTTTGAGCCCAGTGTTAAATACCTAAACCAATGCTACATTGATCCAATGCCAGAAGGACGCCCTACTGAAAAAGACTTGTTAGAGACATCTAGAGTATCCAGATGGATTTGCCACAAATAGGATGATATATTAATTAAGTCAGAGTAAGTCAGATGTGTCCACAACTAGACTTTGTCAGGATTAGAGTACCACTTCTTAGTTACAGTGTAAGCCGAAATAGTAAAAATTAAACACTAGCCATGACATTAGGGCAAATATGGAGCACCCACTGACTCATTTTACTGGAAGGAGAGGACAAAGCTGTAGACTCCTTTTATTCAATAAGATAAATAGGGCAATGAAGGCACATTGGTGTTTGGCAATTGTCTAGAATTATAAACTGGGTCATTAACAGTGAATTGACACTATGATGCACCAGGACTCATCTCCAAGCACACAAAAAGATTATAAATACTCTTTTGTTGGACTACTGAACTTATGTCTCTATGTGAAACCACATGTCTATTTTTTTTTTGTTCCCCAAGTCCCAAAATTACTACTATTAATACTAAAAAGTGCTTCAAAATTAGAATATATTTCCACATGAATTGTACCACCAGATGGAAAAATGTTCCTTTTAGGTCTATGCTGAGATTTCCTAATCAATCTGCCAATTTCCAACGTGGCCTTGGAAGTATTATTGTGATTTCAAACTGATTAGATGCACAATGACTGGGAAGCAACTGTGTTTAACAAGGTTTGCTCCTTAAGAAGCAGTTTGCTACAGTAATCACTTTCCATAGTTTTGAAAAAAAAAATAATGGATTTGTTAATAGACATACATTAGAGGCTGTACTTACATAAGGAAAATATTAAAAATTAAAGAAGTCAGAATAGGTGCTCCTTACAATAGTTTCCACTCATGAGACATTTAATACAAAGTGTCTGCTGTTTCCAGAAATTAAAGAACGAGAAAGTTACCTAGCAAAGTCCATCTGAGGTCCATTCTTTGAGTATTTGAATTTAAACTGATAGAATTCTGTCAAGCGCTAAGGATTGAACAGGAAACAGAACTTGATCTTGTTTTGCTTTTTTAAAGAGAAAACTGAAGTACTTATTTTATATTCAAATACAAATTTATATTCAATCAGTGATCCTATTATTATTCAGAAAAGTTTACAATTCTTTCAGTCAATTATAAAATATAGAAACATGACAGAAAAAAAATACAGCATAATAAGAACAGAGACAGGCCTATCGATAGGCAAAGACATTGAATAGGAAATAATCTAATATCATTCCTACAGCATAAACTTAATATCAGACTTTCTCTTAAAGACAGTGTAATAATTATCAAAATAACAGAACAGAGTTGGAAGGGACCTTAGAGGTCTTCTAATCCAACCCCCTGCTCAAGCAGGAGAGCCTACTAATCCGGACTAATGACTGTCCATTTTCTCTTCTTAAAACCTCCAGTGATGAAACACCCACAGTTTCTGATTCTCACTGTTCTCACTGTCAGGAAATTTCTCCTTAGTGCTAGGTTGATTCTCTCCTTAATCAGTTTCCATCCATTGGAAACTTTCTGTATCATTAATGCACAAAGATAATCAGAGGTTTGGACAAAAAAATTGTCTGAAGGAGGATGGAAAACATGTGAAGTGGCCCACATTGAATGAGGCAAGCAAAATGTGTGATTCAATAGATGTAATGATGATACAAAAGGGAATTTATATATTTGATTTACATCATTATCAAGGCAACTAATCAGATGAATCCTGGCTGACTTAAATATGAATTGAAAAAATTCTGTCTATATTGCTTGTGGTTTACAGCTTGTACCTCTTACCTCGGGCTCTTTGGGATTAGTATAGATCTGTTTCAAGAAAGCAGACAAAATTAATATGGCTCTTCAGTGAACTATCATAATAAAATAAAGCCAAACCACAGCTTCGTTTGATCACCGACTGATAATCATAACTGCAGAAATGTTTCTTTTTGTCATTCTTCCTGCATCTATAACTAGTTATATAAACTGAGCAAATTTATAAAATGATGAGAAGTGTGTGTCTATATTTGGAGAAATTATGTAAATTTTTCCATAAGCCAAGCTCTTATCCAAAGAATTGTTCACCACTTACATAGATAACTGTGGTCAATTCATCAAATCTTCCAACACATAAGAAATTTGTTTTAAAACATCTCTAACAGCAGAAGTGTGTGGCCACATTTAATTTCAGTGAGGGGTTCTGCAGAACGGAGATAACACGATCTGTTTAGCTAAGATGGTAATATGATGCAATTTGTCTCACCAAACCATTTTGTGTTACTTTGAGGTTTTGTCCAATTGTTCCACTAGTGAAAGAAGGTTTTATCTTTCCAATAGAAAAAAGAAGAGTTGGAAGAGAAATAATCTTTCCTGGCATTAGTACTTCATTTTTGCTTTTTTCCCTAGTGGGAGGTATTAACTCTTTGTGAAGCAACTTTGTCAAAGCAATGTATGTATAACTTTCCTGAAAACATCTAGCACAATATCCCAGATTGTCAAATTCAAGCAGAAATATAATACCCTATGAGTTTTGAATGATTGACTCGTGTTGAACTTTGTCAAGTGCGGAAATTGGAAATTTCAAATGACTGTAAGGATTTATTGCAAGTTTAAGCCGTCTACAAGAATCTGAACTATTAACTGTCAAAGCAAATTGCTGGGAAAGATGGAAGGAAAGATAGAAAGAGAACGCTCAGCAGCCAGGCAGATGGGCTCAGGTACAATGGTGATGGAGACAAACTGTTCCACTGATTGTTCTCTCCGTCAGGAAATGAGTTTAATGAGTTTCCACCTATTGCTTCTTGCCCTGCCCTCAGGTGCTTTGGAGAACAAGTCACAAATAACCATATAACTATAACTAGAATAACTAGAAGGGAAAAACGATGCTTTCCTACTCTAAGGAGCATTATGAATGTTTTAGCTCTGCCTCCTAGAGTGAGAAGGGTTTAAAACAACCCAGCTTTAAAACTGGGAGATCAGAGCATGTTCAGGGGAATCATAAAAAGGATACTGTCTGAGGACATAGGAAAGAGTTTTTTGCACATCTCTATTTCTTCTCCTTTTTTTCTATTTCCATTGATTAGAGAATGAAGAAAGAAAATTTGTACATGGTACTTACTGCCAAAACTGCCATATGTAGCTGCAAAATTGAAAGAAAGAGGCTGTTCAAAATCTGCAATTTATTTACAATATGCCCGTCATTGCTTTTCAATCACAGTCACCAATCTGAATGCAATAGCTGTCCACCACAATTTAAAATTTAGCTTTTTCACAGGGCAGACAGACACAAATGTTTTAAGGTGTTGTAGACAAATATTATATTCGTACTTCAAAGCAACTTTGGGGATTAAATCTAATACCCTAATATCTTTTAATTTTTATTTGAAGTTTCTGGAAGGTTGATCAGACCTCAGGCTGCAAGGCCTGAGATGTGTTAATGCTTCCTTCCATGCTAAGGAAGAGGGTAGGAAATATTTCTCCTGCCTCCACACAATGGAATAGACCTACTTCTGCAATAGATGTCATTTCCTCATCAAGAATTTCAAGAATTTAAGGACTCGGATGCATTGCAAGAAACATTACTGACACTCTGTGGCCATTTAGATTCATTACAAAGAGAGAAGCTTGGGTTGATTATTTTTTTCTTTTTCAATTGTGTTTCCCTCCGTCTAAAGATGTTTTTCTGTACCAGAAGAAAATTCCCAACTTAAGTCACTATTTTGCATATTTCAACTGTTCTTCCGAGGATCCAATCCCTCAACCTTTTTTCAAAATTAAAAAATCTTTTTAATTTTATCTTTTCTTGATTAGATATGAATTGGGAAGACCATGGATCATATTCATATTCATCTTAAAATGTACTGACATTTCAGTCTCTCTGGTAAAATCTTTCATAATTATAACAAGTTGTGATCTTTGCATACAACTTAATCCCTACCCAGTACAAAATTATACGTTCTACACAGGGATATAAGGCATATAATACTTTCGTGTCTCGAGCATCAGGCAATCTTAATAATATGCCAGTTAATGACACTTCTATAGCCAAGACAAAATATCAAAGTTAAGTATTTGAAAGTTTTCATCATATAGCTTTGCATGGAATTGCTTTTGTGTGGAACTTCATTCACAGCAAAAGAACAAGACGACTTTTTTATTCTGAAAATTTGAGACGAAATCACACTGCATCAAAGACACTTTCAATGTGAGTTTAATTACAACTTACATAGTTCTTTTCCAGTGCATCGAAACATCCCTGAATCCTATCAAAGAAGAAATATACATGAGTAAACATCAAAATCTGTTGATACAAAAAATTTCTAAGCTGCTAGTTGCAATTAACAGCTGATCACTAATAAAATAAAAAAACTGAAATGCAACATTTAAACCAGATTATTTAATAGTAAAGACAATATCTCTGCCTTTGCATAATTATTGGCTAATGCTGTATATTTAAAGTATACTGACAGGTGCTCAGTACTGTATTCTGGCCTTTTTTTTTTTTTTCACTCTTACCATTTGACTACCTGGAGAGATCCCTGGCAACTTTTATCTTCTCGGAGGATTTTTAAACATATGTCTGGAAAAAGAAGTACATAATGATCTAGAATTAACCAATGTTTTATCAGGTTCATTTTCAGGTGCTGCGAAGACTGATCATTGTGAAACTATGAATTATGCAATTACTTTTTAATGTATTGAAATGATAGTTTTAATGATAGCCTTATAATGTCAAAATGTAAGGTGATTTTCCATACACAAGCCAATATAATTACAGGTATTATACTCACTTGATAGGCTATGGATAATTGTTGCCTTTTTAAATTATTGCCTTTTGACTTTTTATTTTATTATACTAAACCAGCCTTCATATCTGTAGTTGTTAAGTGAGTAATACAGCTAATAAGTGAATCTGGCTTCCCCATTGACTTTGCTTGTCAGAAGATCACAAAGAGTGATCACATGACCCCGGGATACTGCAATGATCATAAATACAAGTCAGTTGCCAAGCATCCAAATTTTGATCATTGCATTGCAACAGTCACGAAAGATGATAAGTCACTTTTTTCAGTGGCATTGTAATTTTGAACGGTCACTAAATGAATGGTTGCAAGTTGAGGAGTACCTGCACATTGTTTTACTTTTTGCCTGCTAATAAATTTAGCACGTTGGATCTTCAAAACGCTTTGGCTATTTTGTGTGAGATGGGTTCGGGCCACCACACTGGAAACAGCTCTGGAGGTTGCCAAAAGGGAGGTTGCAATCTCAGTTATGGAGTTAAGGCAACAAACATGGTTACCCTCTAAATAGCAGGTTCCATAAGAGCTTTCTGGGAAGAGACCTCGCAGGTAACTGATGCAGGAAATTGAAACGGCAAGCAGCCTTTTCACCAGAACCAGGGACTCTTGCTCAGAAGCAATTCGGCTTGGAAAGAGGGCTATTTCCTGTATCAGACAAAAATGATTTGCATTCTGTTAAGAGAGCAAATTCAAAAACAAATCCCCAATTTTCTTTCCTAACCATTTTGTTCATCTGGAGTTTCATACCTTCAAGGTTTTATGCTTCTGGCCGATGTGCATGATTTGGGCAGTAGCCATATTTAGAGAGTTGCCTTTTTGGTCACCACCTAAAGGAAGAAGAGACAGATCTATTTTTGATATAATTTTTACATTCAAACAATGTGCTTGTACCTTGTACTTATCCTTTAATCTGATCATCTATGATGAGCACAAATTGCCATCAGCATCTTCCTGGATATGAGGTTCTTTCATACCCAGATTTTGCCTCTGAAATATCTCTGAATTTTTCTCCTTTCAAACTGCATTTTATGCATTGCTCCTTTTGTTGCATTTTTGCCTTTAACTCTTTTTTTTAACCTTTAAAATTTTTATTATAAAACATTTAAGGGGCAAAATAGATGGCTGGATAAAATGTAACAGAAGGAAGTAAAAAAGGACATTATAGATAGAAAATAAAACAGAATAACAGCGTTGGAAGGAACCTTGGAGGTCATCTAGTCCAACCCCCTGCTCAAATAGGAGACTCTGAGAAGTGGCTGTCCGTCTCTTCTTGAAAGCATCCAGTCCAGCTCACAACTTCTGATAAACAAAATTTTACAATTGTCATAACATTTAAAATATATTGTTTCCATTTGGCGGTTGTTTGTTTGTATTATATTTGAAATGTTTAAACGTTTGTTTCAAAACATGCTAAGGACAAAACAAATGACTACATATAACAGACAAAAAAGGATATCGTGGTTAAAAACACACCTGTGAATAAATTTTAAATAAAAAGTTTTTCATTTTATTTTTTAAATCAATGCATTTTATGCCCTAGTTTGTTTTTACATTTTAATTTTAAATCTAATTTTAATTTTAAAGGCTTTTCTGAAAAATTTAAGGAATAGCCAACAAAATAAAAAATGTACTGTATAGTAATAATTTAAGTAATAGAGAAATGAAGAACAAAGGGCTCCCTTTTAAACGATAATTTAAGGGGCAGACAAAGGTAGAGAAAATCTCCTTTGAATATCTATTTAGTAGGAATAATAAAATAAAGAAAACAAGAATAAAACTTTTCAAAAGGCTCTGAGGGGATTTGGGTGGGAAGAGGGAGGCCATTTTGATCCGCCATCATATTCCCCTCAGGCACCTCATTCCTCCCTCAGTCGTGCCTGGGGAAGCTCTTTTCGCCCTTTTTAATTCTTTTTCTTTTATTTTTTATTTGTTGCCTCTCCTGCTCTCCCTCTGCTCTCTCTCAGAGCAGCCTATAAACCTCCCAACAGAAAGATTAAAGTAGCTCAAAATAACCAATTTCTTCCTGTAGGGAGTTGTACACTGACAGGCAGCTTTTCTCTCTCTTTCTTTTGAACATCCAAACTCTTTCTATTTTATTAGGGAGGCGAAAAGTGGCCCGATTGATAAAATTCTGGCGGTTTCCTTCCTCACCCTGACTTCCTTGATTCTCTCCCTCATCTGAGCTGCTTGCACATGCTCTGTGGAACTCTTCTCTTAATTAGCCAACCTTGTTGGCAAACCATCAAATAAAGTTCTATTCTCAGCTCAAAATTCTGGGTTTTTTTCCCCCTCTCTATCATTCTGACATCCCCACTTCTGCATCTATTTTCAGTTGAAGCTGGACAACACTTTGGGTGGCGAAAGACCATTTGGTTTTAGTGAATGAAGCACACAAATTCTTATTTTTTTTTCTTCTTTTAGACCATACCCTGCTTTTTATTTTTGTGGCATGTTCCAATAAACAAACACACACACACACACACACACACACACACACACACACACACACACACCCAAGTAAGCACATTCTATTAAGATTGGGGATTTGTCAGCCATTTTGTGAACCCATCTGGTGGTGTTGCTGTCAATCCTCCATTGTCCTATCTTACCAAGATAGGACAATGTCTTTTAATATCGTCAAATGTTATATACTACGCCTTTCACTGATCCACTAATTTAATCACTTTGTCAAAACAAAGAAAAAGTGCCATTAGGCTTGTCTGGTATGATCTGTTTTTTTTTTTTTTTGGTTTTTTTTTTTTAAACAAGCCTATGCCTATGGAGATGCTCAGTTGTCCAGCTCATGGTTGCCCCAAAGGTGTTTTTTTTTTCAAAGAAGACTTTCTTGTTTTTTCTTTGAAGACATTTCACCTCTCATCCGATGGATGGAAATTAATCAAGGAGAGAAGCAACCTAGAAATAAGGAGAAACTTCCTGACAGTGAGAACAATTAATCAGTGGAACAATCTGCCTCCAGAAGCGGTGAATGCTCCAACACTGGAAGTTTTTAAGAAGAGATTGGACAACCGTTTGTCTGAAATGGTGTAGCGTTTCCTGCCTGAGCAGGGGGTTGGACTAGATGACCTCCAAGGTCCCTTCCAACTTTATTATTATTATTATTATTATTATTATTATTATTATTATTATTATTACTATTAAGCTTCTTCGGCTCTGACTGGATGGTGGAGAGAATGGAAGGATTTATATTTGCCTTCTTTTAGAGAGTTGATGGACACAGGCAAACCTCCAAGAGGCCTCAACGGCTCTCTGAAAGAAGGCAAATGACCAGCGGTCCACAAGGAGTATAAATCCTCCCATTTCCCCCCCCCCCCACTATCCAGTCAGAGCCGAAGAAGCTTCTCGGATGAGAAGCAAAACATCTTCAAAGAAAAAAAAAACAAGACAGTCCAGTTGCCTCTTTGAAAAAAAAGCACCCTTGGGATAAACAAACCTACCTTCCGCTTTAGTCATAGCTTTGATCATTTCTATGTTTTTGCAGACCCGTCTCTTGATTAGCTTTTCCTGGACTTCCCCAGGGATTGATGTCAGGCTGATGGGCCTGCAGATCCATTTTTATTTTTTTTTTATTTTAACTTTTTGAAGATTGCAAAAGTTTCCTGGGTCCGTTTTTGTTCTTGTTGTTTGTTTTTTGAAGATGGAGGGGTGAAGAATTTGGGAGCCCCCTGCAACAAAGAGCCCGAGGAAGTGCCTGCCACCCGCTTGGCATCCCCGACCGACCGGTTTTCCTCCCTTGGACCCGGCTTGGAGCCGCCCTCGCAACGCCCTCGAGGGTGGAAGAGCTGCCCAAAGACTCGCGATCCGATCTGCTCTGCTTCCAACAGTCGCGCTTTTCCTACACAAGGAGAACCGCCCCTCCTGCCCCCGAGTGCGGGTGGGGAACGCCCTGCCAGGCCCGGGAGGGTTAGAGGGTTCGGAGCCCTTGCGGGAAGCGGGAGGCTGCGGAGCGCTGGAGGATCCCTCTGCCAGGCTGGCAACCATGGAAGCGCCTCGGATCGGGAACCCCTACCTGGAAGACCCCTTGCTCCAGGCTTACCTGAGAGCCCACCTACCTGCCCAGGTGGGAGGCGGGCGCAAGACGGGGGGCTCGACGGTCGGGGCTGCAGGGCTGGGTTGCCAGGCTGGCTCGGCGCTTCTCCGCCTCTTTTGCTGCCCCCCTCCCACCCACCCACCCATCGCTTTTGCTCCTGCGCCCCCCGGCCCAGGTGCCTTAACCCGGTAGGGACAGGAGAGTGAAATGCGCACCCGGTTGGGAACCGCCACGCGTCCGGTCGAGGGGGTGGTCTAGAAGACCTCGGAGGCCCCTTCCCGCCTGGTGGTTCTAATGACAGCACCAACGACGGCGGAAAGCTCCAGTTCTCTGCATCTCAGATTTGGGAGGGGTCCCCATCTGTGCTTGCAGACGCCAAAAGCTGGAAGAAGGGGGAAATGAAAATACTGGGGGTGGGGGTGGGGACCCTTCCCTGTTCCTGGGACTAGAGCAGCGCTTCCCGAACTTCTTCCTTCATTATCCAAAACTGCTTGTTAGAAATGTAGGTAAAACTTTTTAAGTCAATGTAAACATTCTTTTGTGATTGGGTAATGGGTTTGTACCTTGTTATCATTACAGTAAAAAAACAATACCTTTTGCCCAATTTTGCAAGCACTAAAGTTGCGCAAAAGGCACTGAATTAGCTTAGGAGCAGGCCATGGCTTTTTTCTCCCAGCATCTCCCATTTGGCTTCTCACCACAGCTCATTCCCTTTTAATGCAGAAGACTAAGAGACAGAACACGTTGTTCTTTCGGGAACGGAAAGTAACGAAATGGGATAAATGATTGTCTTGATTTTGATGTTCATGTGATATGCCAACTAGATGAGAGGTACCTTAATCTTGTATATGAGCACGTTTGTCCTGGACTAAAATCCCTTTCTTAACCAATTATCCAATGGAGCAGTTTGCCTTCAGAAGTTGTAGGTGCTTCATAACTGGAGGTTTTTAAGAAAAGACTGGACAGCCATTTATCTGAGATGGTATTGGTCTTCTGCTTGAGCAGGGGGTTGGACTAGAAGATCTCCAAAGTCCCTTCCAGCTCTATTCTGATAGAGATGATAGAGATGATAGATAGATAGATAGATAGATAGATAGATAGATAGATAGATAGATAGATAGATAGATAGATAGATAGATAGATAGATAGATATTTGGACTTGTCTGGGATAATTAAACACATCTGTATATTCCCACAATGAGAGAATTGGAATTGCAGTCTGTGTACATGGAGAGAAATAATTACATTTAAAGCTCTAATGCTCATTTAAAGTACCTATACAGGTAGCCCTTGACTTACAACAGTTTGTTTAGTGACTACTCAATGTTACAATGGCACTGAACAAAAGTGACTTATGATGATTTTTCACATTTAAGACTATAGCAGCATCCCCACGGTCATATGAACAAAATTCAGATGCTTGGCAACTGGCTCATATTTATGATGGTTGCAGTGATCTGGGATCAGGTGATCCCCCTTTGTGACCTTCTGAGAAGCAAAGTCAATGGGGAAGCCAGATTCAATTAACAATGTTCCTAACTTAACAACTGCCATGATTCATTTAACAAATGTAGCAAGAAAGGTGGTAAAATGGGGCAAAATTCACCTAACAACAGAAATTTGGGGCTCAATTGTGGTTGTAAGTCAAGGACTACCTGTATTTGGGGTCTTCCTTCAGCTGCCCAAAGATAAGCCATGCATTTGGTTCCCACTGAGACTAAAGAACTAAACTGACTAATGGAGAACTTGGGAGAGCTATTCAATTCCTGTTCCCCAATACATGGACATGTTTCAGATCCGGGACTGGAGAGAGCTGTCAGGAAAAGGACGTGGATTGAGACATGCCTTTTCAAAGCTGTATTTTCATCCGTTGTTTCACCCCCAAAAAAGGATGATAGGAGTGCAATGAAAGAAGATAGAATAATAATTTCAGACTCACATATCTTCTGAGTGTTCTTTAGGAAAGGCACAGGGATGTGACCAGATTGTAGCAACGGCAAACTTAGCTTGAAGTTTGAAGAAGCAACATCAGCTTCAACATCAGGTGAAACTACAGACCAAATAAGAAAGAAATCAGCAGCCCTTCAACTTAGCTTCCTTTATTCCTCTCAGAACTACTTTCTGGTTGACTATGGAGACTCTCAATCATCCAGGTCATAGTTGTCTCAAAAGTGCTTTTTCAAAAGGCAGCTTTCTGGTTCCTGTCCTTATTGTTTATACATTGACCTTGTAGGTGTTTGCCGAGGTGAACACTGACCTGGAACGGTTTGGAGCTCGTTTGAGAGATGAAATTGACTTCTTGGGCCGTGAGTGTGAGCTAAACCCTCCTAGATTATTGCATTTTGATGCCTGGGGGCAGCGTGTGGACCAAGTGACCACCTGCCCAGCCTGGAAGAGGCTGAAGGACATCTCTGCTGAGGAGAGCCTTGTGGCTGAAGGTTATAAAAGGAGATATTCCTGTTGGAGGTACTGTTGTGGTCTTTGTTTTGTCCAATTAAACTTCTTTCTCTTCTAAAACAACTTTTAAAACCATTTTTATAATTGCAGACAATACTAAGAGTAATTCCTAGGTGCATTGTTTGTAAATATCTTTTCGAATTCTTCCAGAGTTAGAATATTTTGCTCCATTCTGTATTAGTGGGTGACTTCCCTTTCCGTAATAATTTTTAGTTTGTTTTGGTTCTATGTCCAACCTTCAAAGTCCTTTTATCATGTTTCTTTCTAATCCACAATATTATTCCCACAGGAAGGTTTATTATATTTAATTTCAAAATTTTCCTATTTTTATAGAATTCTTAACCATCCATAAGATGAATTATTATAATTATTTATATGCAGAACCATCCCTCTCCTCCCCCCCACTGCTGCCAATCTGCAGAGCCAGAAAAGTTGGGGACCGCTGTGCTAAATCTTCTGGAGGCCACTGTCATACATTCTCACTGTGGGGAGCTGCTGTCTGGAGTGGGTGATCCGGAGTCCTCTCCTTCTCCCGAGAGGAATTCTGAAAAGAATTGTATCAGCTCCTCATTCCGTTGCACTTTTGGGTTCCCCAGTAACCAAACTCTTTACCATTGCTTCTTGGGAAGTCCTTTCTCCAGTAGTCTTCTAAATCTGGGAGTGGCAGGACACTGCCAAATATAGCTTCATATATTTCTCTTTTCATAGCCGTGTTCATCAGGTTGCCAAGCTGTATCTTTTTGTAGTATCTTCTGCTTCCTATAGTGCCCCTTTAGCCATGACTGATGGAGCAGCAAAAGTAATTGAGGTAAGCCTTTAATATTCAACAGGTGGGACTGCTGGATTAAGCAACTCTTATTATTATTATTTAAAACCTCCAGGTGTTCTTAGTACTGTTTGTAAAATATTACTCTACCTTATCCTCTTAAAGAACAGGTTGTCTTCATGTTAAATTTATTGGAAAAATCATATCCATGTTGTACCTGTTGAATAATCATAGCTCTTTCCATCTACATGATCAAAAAATTCCCTGAAGGTTGGTTGGACTCTGCCCTCCCCACCCCAGTAACACGCTGATCAACCAGGAGAGCAACACAAAGCACTTAGAAGGAAGCATTGGGGCACCTCTTGGTCTTTTAATTGGAAGCCCCTGGCTGAGGGGCTGCATGAGTTAATCAAACTCAGGGTATCAAAGAGTCAAGAGTATCAGTTAATCAAACTCAGGGTATCAAAAGGCCTTGGTGATTCTCCTCCTCCGAGCTTGCCTTAAGCCATGACCATTGACAGCTGTGGGTGTGATATCTCTGGAGAAGCTCCCTTGCTTAATTTTGCTGTTCAGTGACTTTTCCCATGACCCCGTTTGGCAGCTGTCCTGCTGTGCCAGGATTCCTGACTATCTTGCTGCTTTCCATATTAGATGCAAGCAGATGCCCGATGGCGATGATGATGGTGACCTCCGTGTACTTTTATTCCTCTTGCTTGTGTCATCCCATCTCTTCTAGGAATTGAAGGTAGAGCTGTCAGGTAGTTTATCTCTCCATCCTTCTCGATACAGTATCTGCCTTTTGTCTCTTGCTTGCAACTCCAACAGTCTTTAGGTATCCCCAAACCCCTGGAAGAAGCCTATGCTCATTTGACCTCCTGTGACCCCAAGACATTCTGGATTTCTGGTCAATGGATGACCGGACGCAAAGGCGGCTCTGACGTTGGTAAGGGGGTCCAACACAATCCTTCCTTTCTAAAATATACGGTTTAGCAAATAAGACTTTATTTGGGCAGGCTTACTTATTCAACCGTCTCCATTTAAAGAAGTTAAATTTGTATGTTATGCCATTTTTCCAGGCATGTTTTGTGTTTTTTGCTATTTTTTAAATTTTGTGCTTTATGCATGCTATAGCACAGAGGAAATCCATATACTACAACTTGCACAATGGCTGTACAGGTTATCCTCTTGTAGAGCACTCTTCAATCATATTTTATGGCAGATAAAATCAGATGCCTTGCTCACACAGGAGTTACCACATTACCCCTGATGAAATTGGAAACCTTACAACACATCTTCAGAGGCAGATGAATTGTGCTGCCAGCTAATTTAACCCTTAATAGCTAGAATGTTAAGTAGGGATTGACATTACTGAGAAAGTATTATATTTTTAAAATGCATTTTGATGCCTGGCTGTAACAAAAACTTGTTTGTTTGAGCAGGCACTACCTCTTGAAGTCCAGCCTACCTCACAGGGTTGTGCTGTGGAAAATAGGAAGAGGGAGTTGTGAAGATTACCATAAACTCCTGAATGAAAAGCAGGATCGAAACTTAACAATCAATCAGTGGTCACTGATATCTCAGTTCATCTTCCAGGGAAGATTCCAAGCAGCAAATATATATATATATATTTATTATTATTACTTTTGCAGGAGGTGGAACAGAAACTGTGGCACGGGAACTTCCAGATGGCTCCTACAGCCTGCACGGTTTCAAATGGTTCACATCAGCCACTGATTCAGATATGGCGCTGACCCTGGCAAGGATCGTGGGGCCAGATGGGCAGATAAAACAGGTCAGATTCCCAGGCGAGCCCAAAGAATATGAAACAGTAGCTTGCAAGTAGTTGTGCAGTTAGTAATGTCCGAACTCCAGCTGCATTTATTTCATTCCCCCCGAACAAGGTCTCAGGCTAGCATCTTTTGTGTGGCAGGGCTCCAGAGGCCTTTCTCTCTTCTACCTGAAGACATATGAGGACGGGAAGCTGAATGGCATAAAAATAGAGAGGCTGAAAGAGAAGCTGGGCACAAGGGAGATGCCAACCGCAGAGCTGTTGCTGGATGGAGCGCGAGCACATCTGGTAGGAACCACGGAGGAAAGTATTTCTGCTCCTCCGTTCACTGAGAGGAGCGCAGAGAGTGCAGCCAGGCGGGGGGGGGGGCTGACTTTGAAAGGAGAGACTCAGCAAGTTGGAAGGATTGTTTAGTGTTTTTCTAATTTGGCAATTTTAAAAAATGTAGGCTTCCATTCCCAGAATTCCCCAGCTAGCATACTGATTTATACCGGCAGGTCTGACCTCTGGACGAAAAAAACATTACACATTCGCAACAGACAATTGTTAGGGTTCTGTGTGAACACTTCTGGGGAGTGGAAGAGTTACGCAGGGGAAGAGCCTCACCTCTGGTGTCTGGCACTACTTAGTTGAAATGATTTCTGTTGTTTTTAAAACTTTTAGCAGAAACAAAAAGTCTTGAGACTTGTGAGCAATGGTTCAGAAAACATCAGACCTCAGAGCCTGGTAAATATAGCTCTTCAGTGCATTCCGTAGCAAATTGTGATAGAACGTGGTTTTAGTATCCTATGTTGCTCCAGAAAATTACTCCTTTGCTTGAATTGTGCGTACTCAGCTTTATGGCCCCTCTGATTTGCAGACCTTGTACATTTCTAGAATTAGTTATTTAAATTGAAAGGTTGGTTTGTAGGTCCAGTCTTTGGAATAAAGCTCTCTTTCTTGCTTTGCTTCAAACTACTTGCTCTTCTCTTTCTCAGATCCTGAAA